AAAACTACCATAAACTGATTTTATGTCTAATGATTGTTGACTTTCCTTCAAATACCTAAAAGATGATGCTCAGCATGGTCAGGATGGTCAGCATGGGCGTGGCATGAACAGCATGGGCGTGACATTTTCAGCATGGTCAGCATGGGCGTGGTATGGTCAGAATGGGTGTGGCATGTTCAGCATGGTCAGTCAGTCAATGATTATTATAGTAATGTATAATTGGGCACAATAATCATTAATGTATAGTCATTGTTGTCATCAGTGGCAGAGCAAGAAACTTTTTGAGGGGTGCGTCTGCAAAGGAATTTTAGGCTAATCATTGATTTTTTTTTTATACCAAATCAAGCAAGGGGACATAGATTGACACAAATATTTATTATTTTGTTTTTGGATTTCTCACCAGGTAGGCGTAAGGCACAATGTTGGATGGAAATAGGTAGCTAGGCTACGCTAAAGAAGGGAGCGACAGTGGCTCAGTTGATAGAGCATTGGCCTTTAGGCCTGAAAGTCGTGGGTTCGTTTCCCACCTCGACACCTTCTCCACCGACTCCCACTGATACCTGCTGTCATTGTGTCCTTGGACAAGACACTTAAACCCACTTTACCTGAAGCCCCCACTGAAAGATCTCAGCTCCTGTGGACTCAGCACCTGCAGGAGGATCAGTGAGGGGAAGAAATGGACAAAGTATTTTTCTAGCTACCCCATGGCAATGGGGTGTCCTATTTACGCCCATGTTTATAGCATTTCTCTATCAATATTTATATTTCTTAATGTTCAAATCTGTTTATGAACTGCCTGCTTGATCATCCTACCGGGATTTAAAATCTTATCACATTTCTCTGCAGTTGTTGGTAGAACTTCCTGCTACTGCTATTCTAGTTCGTTCATGTGTCTGAGGAGAACGAGCTGGAATACTGGTGGGTTATCATGTCGACTGGTGTGAGCGCAACCACTTGTGCTTGAACACCAGTAAGACTAAGGAGATGGTACCTGTGCTAACACCAGGAAGACCAAGGAGATGGTACCTGTGCTAACACCAGGAAGACCAAGGAGATGGTACCTGTGCTAACACCAGGAAGACCAAGGAGATGGTACCTGTGCTAACACCAGGAAGACCAAGGAGATGGTACCTGTGCTAACACCAGTAAGACCAAGGAAATGGTACCTGTTCTAACACCAGGAAGACCAAGCTACCATATTTCCATCCAGCATTGTGCCTTAGGCCTACCTCGTGAGAAATTGAAAAACAAAATAAAAAACATCTGTGTCAATCTATGTACCTTTGCTTGATTTGGCATTAAAAAAATTAGCCTAACATTCCTTTGCAGACGCACCCCTCAAAAAGTTTCTTGCTCTGCCACTGATGACAACAATGACTATACATTAATGATTATTATGCCCAATTATACATTACTATAATAATCATTGACTGACTGACGATGCGGACCATGCCACGCCCATGCTGACCATGCCACGCCCATACTGACCATGCCACGCCCATGCTGACCATGCCACGCCCATGCCCTGCAGTCAGTCATTGTTCATTGCACATCATGTTGCATCCATTGATTGATAAATGATGATTATGATAACCCTCACCCTCTGCCGATCATTTAACACTAGGAGCGCCCCTAGCGGTCAACTGACCGTCACTCACTTTATTATGCTAATTAGTGTATTCAAAACAAAACGCCAGAAGTTGAAATTTTATGACTTTTACTAGGTACTTGTTGTTTATATTTTGGTGTGTTTTGGTTTTGGAAAAAGTAAAGAAAACAAGATTTACACGTATTTTAACTTTTCTAAACCACAGCCCTTTCTGCTGCCCCATGGAGATACATGGCGCAGGGGCGACTGTTGTCATAGTAACCTTTCCCGGGGGTTTTTCGCGCCTTATAAAAATGTATCAATATGTTGTCATTAGACTCTAAAGGGACTTGAGTTTTTTGATTATTATTTGGGAGAGAGAGAGGAGTACAAAATGAATAGAGCTGCAAGTACACGGTATGAAGCCCTGACAGCAATGGTGTAGGTTTGGTTCCAATCTTGGTGGGGACATTGACTACGACCCGAGTCTACACCCATTGACACGGGGTCCAGAGTTTCTCCCCCAGAATTTGTTGTGTAATCACACACTATATTTGCAATAGTGTGTTGCCTTCTATACTAAACTCAGCTGTAGACTGAATGAGAAGCAGTTAAGGATTTTTTCTAATAGTTAAAACAAAATCAATTGGATCAGAGCTTCTGAGTTTTGTGTTGCGTTCATTCTATACTGACTTAAACCTAATTCAAATCTACATAATAGCCCTCACCTGAGGCTCTAACAGTTCAGGAACTGCTCTCGATACTTGAAATAAATCATGCTCTGATCTTTCAATTTCCTATAATAAATAAAAACAGAGGAGAAAATATTGAATTAGAATCTACAGTGAGTAGCTCACTACATTGTTTGACATATACAATCAATCTCTAAAAACAATTCATAGTCCCATGCATACCTACAAAATTCCAACCTCGCCTGATGCACTGAAGGGCCTGTTGCTTCTACCTCAACATTCCCTATATTGTTCTCTTTTGTTGGTTGAGTTTCCTATGTATGTTAACAGAAGATTAATCATCACAATTCATAATTTGCTGTTACTTGTGCTTTCTCTTACTTACTTTCCAACTGTTAAAAAAGCTCCTGATATCTTTTATCTTTTTTTGTGGAGGTGGCATTTTTTCTAAATTATATAAGAAGGTATAGACAATCAAAAACAGACATTCATATACATGAACTGCAGAATCATTTATATAACTTGGCCAATGTCAAAAGTTACATAGTATTTCTCAATACCATGAGTTAACAAGAGTTTGGCAATAAGTAACAGTGTGGATTTTTCTATATTTTCTTTTTTTTTATTCCACTCACAACCCAAAAAGGCAAGTAATGACTCACAGGGCTCTTAAGTATGCAAAATAAAAACTTAAATGACCTGTTGTGGTGTGTTTTGCGCACAACCAGCATGCATCGTTAACGCAATGGAAAATTTAGGTATCCGAGCTTTAATTTCGGGAGCGCTGGTTGCGCTTTGGGAAGAGTCAGGGGGAGAGACATGTCAGAGGACACAGGGGAGAAACGGGGAAGATACGAGGGAGACCCGCACTTGCAACATGGTTCTGTCTGCATATGGTCCGAGCTCGGTACCATGTTAGAGCTGTGCTTTCACTGAGCGCCGCGGCTGTCATTACAAAGCGGCAGCAGCTGCACCAGGACGTGCACATTCGAGTGCATCGCTTGAATGTGCTTAGAGCAAATAACAGCAAGTGCCCGCTGTCACACATTTCACAGAAATTACATTATCAGCAGATAAAGGTTGTACATCGTGGATCCGTGGAATATTTTCATCCCTAGTTTATCCTGATTCACACAACACACCCACTTATACATTTTGGATAGTAAGAGCACAATAAGTATTTTTTCAGCCTTTCAACCAACCTGTTTCTTTATTGGAGCCAGTTCTGTTCTGTCTCTGTGCCGTGTGAGCTCCTCGGAACATTAAACAGTGCGCTGACAGATTAGAAATAACGTAAGTACTTTGAATGGTAATAGATCTACAGTACTTTCCTCTGATTACTCACGTGCTACAACGCTCAGGGAACAAAAAAAAACACTTGCTTCACGCTGGCTAACTTTTAAAAATTAAACAGTTGCTCAGTGCTTCAGTTTGGCGCTGAAGAAGACAGCCAATCACTGCAGAGAACGGAACGGGTCACGTGCTGCTGCTGCTGCTGTTGCTCTGGAGGCGAGGAGGAGGCGCGACGTGTGCACAAACAGAAGACATGTGTCCCGGACCGTCCGGGTCACGGGACATCATGTCATTTTGGTGGGGACTTTTTAGTCCTCACCAAATATTGGTGGGGACATGTCCCCATGGTCCCCACGCAAACCTACGCCCTTGGTGTCGATGCACTGCCAATCCAGATACTTGGGTTCAAATCCCACCTCAGACACATTTTCACTCTCAAAACGGCAATTTATGTGTAGTGAGCAATTGTCGCCTGTAGAGGGCAGTATTGTGTTGGGCATCAGTGGAGAGAAGAGAGAAAAGGCAGTCCTGTGGCATAGATCCATGGTTTTCAATGCATGGGCGTTACCCGCTGTGACGTCACACACAGGTTAGAGCATACAGTAGACAGCTTAAATTCATGAAAAACACGTTCTTTTTATAAAATATAGGATTTTTTTTGCCGGAATCTCTTTCAGATTGACATTGTCATGCAAATTTGATATCCACTATTTTTAAAAAAAAAACCAGTCATAAGGTCTTTAACTAGGACAATGGCTTGACAGCACAACGTTTAAACCATAGACTGTATATATTAACGGACAGAGTCACGCCTATCTCCGCCGTTCTAACTAATGGGCCAAAAAATGTGCTCTAATGGAGCAATCCAAAATGGCAGCGAGTGGTCCCGCCCACAAGAAAATTGTGAAAAAACGCATCTGCGCATGCGTCAGCCGGCGCAGCTCCATTCATTTGAACGAGAGACTTCAAAAATTCACAAGAGGTAAACTAGAGTGGACCAAAAAAATCCACCCCCCTCAGCATTGACACACATGTGGAACGGAGCTTTGGGCCAAGAGACAACTTTTGGTCCATCCTGTAAAGACGTTTTTGAGAGGTCTGCTAACGCTATATGTTAGCATTGGCTAATTCTACTTCTGGGTCCACTCCCATCGGCCCGGGGTGGTATTGCAGCATGTCAGCGCACGTCATTTTGGCCACTTTTGAGCTGGGACCCTCCCCCACTGGTTTAAACACAATATCAAGAATGTATGTGGTTGACAGATTTTGACGTAAAAATAATTATACGTTTTATTTACAGTGCACCTTGCATTTCCAGGAAACCTCAAATTGCTACAGATTAAAATACAAAACCACAAACAAAAAGCCAAAGCATCCAAAGTACATAAATACATCATAAAGAAACATGAAAGGGTTAAAAGCTCATCCTAAAATCCTCTTATTATACTTTTAAACCTGGAGATATTTCTCCATCCATCCATTTTCTTCCGCTTCATCCGTGGCTGGGTCTTGGTTGCTGTGAGCGTTGGGTGCAGCTCTGAGCGTTGGGTGCAGCTCTGAGCGTTGGGTGCAGCTCTGAGCGTTGGGTGCAGCTCTGAGCGTTGGGCGCAGCTCTGAGCGTTGGGTGCAGCTCTGAGCGTTGGGTGCAGCTCTGAGCGTTGGGTGCAGCTCTGAGCGTTGGGTGCAGCTCTGAGCGTTGGGTGCAGCTCTGAGCGTTGGGTGCAGCTCTGAGCGTTGTGCAGCTGTGAGCGTTGGGTGCAGCTCTGAGCGTTGGGTGCAGCTCTGAGCGTTGTGCAGCTCTGAGCGTTGGGTGCAGCTCTGAGCGTTGGGTGCAGCTCTGAGCGTTGTGCAGCTCTGAGCGTTGGGTGCAGCTCTGAGCGTTGTGCAGCTCTGAGCGTTGGGTGCAGCTCTGAGCGTTGGGTGTAGCTCTGAGCATTGGGTGCAGCTATGAGCGTTGGGTGCAGCTCTGAGCGTTGGGTGTAGCTCTGAGCGTTGAGGGTGTAGCTCTGAGCGTTGGGTGCAGCTCTGAGCGTTGAGGGTGTAGCTCTGAGCGTTGGGTGTAGCTCTGAGCGTTGGGTGCAGCTCTGAGCGTTGGGTGCAGCTCTGAGCGTTGGGTGTAGCTCTGAGCGTTGGGTGTAGCTCTGAGCGTTGGGTGCAGCTCTGAGCGTTGGGTGCAGCTCTGAGCGTTGGGTGTAGCTCTGAGCGTTGGGTGTAGCTCTGAGCGTTGGGTGCAGCTCTGAGCGTTGGGTGCAGCTGTAAGCGTTGGGTGCAGCTCTGATTGCGATCTCCCCAGACATAGAAATGGACTAACAAAGGGGATGAAAATGAATGAATGAATGAATGACTATTATGTGTTTGTGTCTGTGTTCAGATTTACCCGAGATCAGCGTGAGCCACAGCAGCGTCTTGGCCACGGAGGGCGATAACCTGACCATCAGCTGCAATGGGTCAGGGTCTCCACTGCCAGAGGTGGACTGGACCGTGGGGGGTCTGCACTCCATCAACACTCACCTGGTAAGACCAATATTCACCAAACGTCAAGCTCATGGTAAAAAAACAGGCATAAACAGGGGGTCATTTAGTTGGTTATTTGAACAAGGTGCTCTAACTAACGCTTATTGTTGTATTGAAATTGCTATCATGAATCAATTAGAGAGTTTAGAGTACCTCAGTTTGTCCCAGATAACGCTGCAGTAAAGCCACAAGAGCAGGCGTCTCCAAGCTTCATCAGCCAGAGAGCTACTTTCCCAAGACGAAAAAGACAGAGCTACTCCTTTAAGCGGCCGGGGAAAAATGAGGTGATACATTGGTGCGAGCGAGCCTGATAAGAGGGATTATTTATCATCACATATTCATCACCTGTGCACAAAGTATTACTAAATAATAACAATGAGTTACACATAACAAAATATTCAGTATATTATTTGATTTTTAAATGCTTTGGCGAGCTACCTGGAAGGGGGTGGCGAGCTACTTGGAAGGGAGTGGTGAGCTACCTGGAAGGGGGTGGCGAGCTACCTGGAAGAGGGTGGCAAGCTACCTGAAAGGGGGTGGCGAGCTACTTGGAAGGGGGTGGCAAGCTACCTGAAAGGGGGTGGCGAGCGACTTAGAAGGGGGTGGCGAGCTACTTGGAAGGGGGGGCGAGCTACCTGAAAGGGGGTGGCGAGCTACTTGAAAGGGGGTGGTAAGCTACCTGAAAGGGGGTGGCGAGCAACTTAGAAGGGGGTGGCGAGCTACCTGGAAGGGGGTGGTGAGCTACTTGGAAGGGGGTAGCGAGCTACCTGGAAGAGGTGGCGAGCTACCTGGAAGAGGTGGCGAGCTACCTGGAAGGGGTGGCGAGCTGCCTGGAAGGAGGTGGCGAGCTACCTGTAAGGGGTGGCGAGCTACTTGGTAAGGGGTGGCAAGCTACTGGTTGCCCCCGAGCTACAGGTTGGAGACCCCTGTAATAAAGGACATACAGTGCCTTGCGAAAGTATTCGGCCCCCTTGAAGCTTTTAACATTTTGCCACATTTCAGGCTTCAAACATAAAGATATACAATTTTATTTTTTTGTCATGTATCAACAACAAGTGGGACACAATCGTGAAGTGGAACGAAATGTATTGGATAATTTAAACTTTTTGAACAAATAAAAAACTGAAAAGTGGGGCGTGCAATATAATTGGGCCCCTTTACTTTCAGTGCAGCAAACTCAGTCCAGAAGTTCAGTGAGGATCTTTGAATGATCCAATGTTGTCCTAAATGACTGATGATGATAAATAGAATGCACCTGTGTGTAATCAAGTCTCCGTATAAATGCACCTGCTCTTTGATAGTCTCAGGGTTCTGTTTAAAGCACAGAGAGAACCATGAAGACAAAGGAACACACCAGGCAGGTCTGAGATACTGTTGTGGAGAAGTTTAAAGCCGGATTTGGATACAAAAAGATTTCCCAAGCTTTAAACATCTCAAGGAGCACTGTGCAAGCAATTATATTGAAATGGAAGGAGTATCAGACCACTGCAAATCTACCAAGACACGGCCGTCCCTCCAAACTTTCATCTCAAACAAGGAGAAGACTGATCAGAGATGCCGTCAAGAGGCCCATGGTCACTCTGGATGAACTGCAGATAACTACAGCTGAGATGGGAGAGTCTGTCCATAGGACAACAATCAGTCGTTCACTGCACAAATCTGGCCTTTATGGAAGAGTGACAAGAAGAAAGCCATTTCTCAAAGATATCCATAAAAAGTCTGGTTTAAAGTTTGCCACAAGCCACCTGGGAGACACACCAAACATGTGGAATAAGGTGCTCTGGTCAGATGAAACCAAAGCAACACAGCTCATCACCCTGAACACACCATCCCCACTGTCAAACATGGTGGTGGCAGCATCATGCTTTGGGCCTGCTTTTCTTCAGCAGGGACAGGGAAGATGGCTAAAATTGATGGGAAGATGGATGGAGCCAAATACAGGACCATTCTGTAAGAAAACCTGTTGGAGTCTGCAAAAGACCTGAGACTGGGACCGAGATTTATCTTCCAACAGGACAATGATCCAAAACATAAAGCCAAATCTACAATGGAATGGTTCACAAATAGACGTATCCAGGTGTTAGAATGGCCAAGTCAAAGTCCAGACCTGAATCCAATCAAGAATCTGTGGAAAGAGCTGAAGACTGCTGTTCACAAACGCTCTCCATCCAACCTCACTGAGCTCGAGCTGTTTTGCAAGGAAGAATGGGAAAGAATTCCAGTCTCTCGATGTGCAAAACTGATAGAGACATACCCCAAGCGACTTATAGCTGTAATTGCAGCAAAAGGTGGCGCTACAGAGTTTTAGCGCAAGGGGGCCGAATAATATTGCACGCCCCACTTTTCAGTTTTTTATTTGTTAAAAAAGTTTAAATTATCCAATAAATTTCGTTCCACTTCATGATTGTGTCCCACTTGTTGTTGATTCTTGACAAAAAATTTAATTTTTATATCTTTATGTTTGAAGCCTGAAATGTAGCGAAATGTTGAAAGGTTCAAGGGGGCCGAATACTTTCGCAAGGCACTGTACTAATGTACTTTTCCCGGAACAAAACATGTATCATTAAAAACACAACATTTACACAATTCCCTAATATTATTAATGCGCTTACTTCCCTGTTTGTGTTGATATGTATGGAAGCCCGTTTCCGCCATGTAAAAAAAAAAAAAACTATAGAAAGTCAAAATTTCGACTTTAAAAGTCAAAATTACGAGTTTTCAACTGCGCATGTGCAGTTGAAAACTCGTATGTGTTGTTGTCTGGAACGGTCTCTGGTCATCCCTGTTATAGATCCATGACCATGGGTCATCCCTGTTATAGATCCATGACCATGGGTCATCCCTGTTATAGATCCATGACCATGGGTCATCCCTGTTATAGATCCATGACCATGGGTCGTCCCTGTTATAGATCCATGACCATGGGTCATCCCTGTTATAGATCCATGACCATGGGTCATCCCTGTTATAGATCCATGACCATGGGTCATCCCTGTTATAGATCCATGACCATGGGTCATCCTCTACCTGCAGTATGTGAAGATTTTTCCTACAGACAGTGACCACATCCATGAAGTAGCAGCAATAATGTTGTGGTAGTAATCGCGTTAAAATGCAAACGGTCTCTCAGTTTATGATTAGAATCCGCTTGAGAAGCCTCTATTTAGTTTATCCTAAACGGACTGTGGAAGATTAATAATAAAACACATGCGGCTGTTCAAAGTCATTGAGCATCAACTGGTGACGTCTGGTCAGTATCACGGCTATCGATGGATGCACCAGAAATGCACTGAATGATATTGTTACTGACAGACAGAGGCAGGAGAACCACAGACAGAGGCAGAAGAACCACAGACAGAGGCAGGAGAACCACAGACAGAGGCAGGAGAACCACAGACAGAGGCAGGAGAACCACAGACAGAGGCAGGAGAACCACAGACAGAGGCAGGAGAACCACAGACAGAGGCAGGAGAACCACAGACAGAGGCAGGAGAACCACAGACAGAGGCAGGAGAACCACAGACAGAGGCAGGAGAACCACAGACAGAGGCAGGAGAACCACAGACACGGGCACTGACAATAATACCCTTTTGGAATTGCGATCAGTGCATTGAAGAGTATGTGACGTGTTTGCGTGCACGCGGGGGTGAGCTGATGGAGCGTGTGGTAAAGTTGTTGGCGTATGAGCAAGAACACAGAGACATACAGGGAATAAGTACTTTGTCTGATTATTATATTGTGACAAAATAAAGCCCACGACTCTTTTAGCAACAATCCGGAAAAATAACTCTGCAGATAACAGTGAGGGTCTTTGAAAAGGGACTTAAACCCATTATAGATGCATGAATAAAACCCTGTACTCAACACGTAGAAAGCGCATCCTTTCAGCCGTGGAAAGACTCGCTCCGTGTGGACCCTCTCAGCGCCATCGTCTGGTCAGAGTGGGGTATAGCAGATTGGATTGGAATGTCTCGATGGCTCATTTTCCTTTGATTTATTATAAAAACGTATTGCTCACATTATTTGTTACTATGTCGAAATAAGAAGTCGTTTGATTTAAATGTTGTAAATATGTAAATTGAATTTAACATAAATAAATAAAAAGACAGCTCCTCCCTGCGTCCTACGACCGCGGTCTGGGGCTTAAACAGGAAAGTTTTACAGAATCAATCAAACAACATTATTTCTGGCTACTTCAAGGATGCAGTGGTCACTGTCGGCAATATCTTCATAATCTGCAGGTAAAGGACGTCCAGAGACCGTTCCAGACAACAACACATACAAGTTTTCAACTGCACATGTGCAGTTGAAAACTTTTGACTTTCAAAGTCGAAATTTTGACTTTTAAACTCAAAATTTTGACTTTCTGTATGCTTTTTTTTTTTTTTTATATGGCGGAAACGGGCTTCCATAGATATGATATCTCCCTAAAATAGCAGTTAATATTGAAACAACTTGATTAATGGATTTGTCGCCACAGCCCTAGTTGAGTATATTACAAATACCAAAAATGGAGCAGATAGTAAGGTCATGGTACCAGTTGTGGAATGCACCAAAATATGGCTCCTACTTACTTTTGGCTGAGAAACGCAATAATATAGAAGACAACATTCAAACGTGTTTTCAATGTGTACTCTCAAGAAGCACAAATAGATGAAGGTAAAATGTTTTCATGCAGAAAAGTATTTACTTATACAATGTTTTTTCTTGGAAAGAGACATTTTCTCAATGTCAAGCTCTGAGAGAAAATGAAAGTCCCACGGGACAAAGACCCGCTAAAGATGTAGTAATCTAGTCGGCTAAACCCCAACGGAATTGCATCTCTATTAAATCCCATTCATTTAGTTTTATTTTTAGATTGTGTGCAAAGAATGTACAAGGGCAGTGTTCAGATGTGAAGTGGTAGATGGAGAGATGTAGTTTTATTCAACATTCACTCATCAGAGAGCGTCGCATAAAGCATTAGCTTAAGGCCGCAGGATATAGTGGACTGTCTATTG